TCGCCATACCTTAAAATGAAATTTCGTCGCATACAGTTCTCAGAGGGTGACCCCCCCCTTTCAATATACACTACATAAAACGTGACAAATAAATAAATAAATATGCATATGTGGAGGTGTGCAGGTAGTCTCCCACCGTTCGTTTAGGGACCGTTCAGAATGATAATGGCACTGGAAAAAAGTTGACGTCTCCGTTTTTTCAAAGTTGCAACCTTTGTAGTGTCCCCATGACCATGCGATCAAAATCCAGATGCTGGGCAACTGGCTCATATTTATGACCTTTGCTTTGATCTCCTGACAAACAAAAGTCAATGGATTCACTTAACAACCCTGTCACTAACTTAACTGCAGTGACTCACTTAACACCCGTGGCAAGAAAAGTCATAAAATGGGGCCAAACCCACTTAACCAATGTCTCACTTAACAGAAATTTGGGGCTCGGTTGTGGTCATAAGTCTAGCTACCTCCTGTATTACCTCCTGCCTAGTTCCTTCTCCTTACTACCCCTAGAAGCAAAGCATACTCTTTGTGCAAAGTTTTATTCATCCCAATGGCATATCATGAATATAATTAATTAGGCTAGATGTTCAAACAATAAATATTATGCCTAAAGATTCAATACCACAGTACAGTATGCCTTTCCTGGTGGAGTCAATAAGCTTTTTCTTAACTGTGCCTTAAAATAAAGACATCTGTCTAACCATGTAGAATAGAATAGAATAACAGAGTTGGAAGGGATCTTGGAGGTCTTCTAGTCCAACCCCCTGCTTAGGCAGGAAACCCTACACCACTTCAGACAAATGGTTATCCAACATCTTCTTAAAAACTTCCAGTGTTGGAGCATTCACAACTTCTTGGGGCAAGTTGTTCCACTGATTAATTGTTCTCACTGTCAGGAAATTTCTCCTTAGTTCTACGTTGCTTCTCTCCTTGATCAGTTTCCACCCGTTGCTTCTTGTCCCACCCTCAGGTGCAGAGGTCTCCAACCTTGGCAACTTTAACCCTGGAGGACTTCAACTCCCAGAATTTCAACTCAACCCTGGAGGACTTCAACTTCATCTGGGAATTGAAGTCCACCAGGCTTAAAGTTGCCAAGGTTGGAGACCCCTGCTTTGTAGAGTAGCTTGACTCCCTCTTCTTTGTGGCAGCCCCTGAGATATTGGAAGACTGCTATCCTGTCTCCCCTGGTCTTTCTCTTCACTAGACTAGACATACCCAGTTCCTGCAACTGTTCTTCATATGTAATATTAGGAATTACATTATGTTGTGAGATTTTAAATTTAAGGGGTTTAATTTAGAGATGAAAAGGGGAAAATTGAATTTTATTAAGATTAGAGGTTAGGATAAAGGGTAATATTGGTCTACAAAAAATTAGAGAGAATAAATACTATGGCAAAATGGGAATATATAAATGGTGTTGGAAATGACTAAAAATTATTTAAATTTGTGAGCCGGCCAATACTCTGTTCAAAAAAAAATACACTGTTTGGGTGTTTGTGCAAAAAATAATAATAAAAAATCTTAAAATAGAAAAAAAAAACCTTGAAAGTAGGAACTGTTTTGTCTTTCATCAAAGTCTGTTCCAAGAAACGAGATAGAATTTTCTATAAACAGTTTGCAAGGTCGCTTTGTGTTTTCATTTCCAGAGAATACAAGCCGGAAAAAAATATAAATCAAAACAGGAGAATCAACAGAAGTCGTTCCTCTCCCAGATCTAGAGATGAGAAATGGGAGGCTCACTTAGCTCCCCAGAACTTCGTATGTGCTCTCCCCAAAAGTTTCAAAAGTTTGCGTTTTCATTGAGCTGATGCAACTGCAAAGATATTTGCATTCCGTCAGATTTAGGGTTTGTCCTGACCACGCGCAACTCCCAAGCATGTCTAAAACAGCTGTGCCTCCCAGCTTGATACCTCTGGCAGTTCGGAATAGAGGCAAGAATTAAGTTCTTGATTTATATTTCAATTTATAACAGCCGCCTCTTTCAAATTCACGACCCCTTGTCTGCTAACAGCAGTTAGAAACAGGGTAGAATAATGAACTGTACCTATATACACAATTGGCGGCCAAGGTCATAACCAGAATCCCAGTTTTGATATAGTAATGAAATCCTCCTCAGTTACAATAAATAATAGCTGTTGAAAGATCAGCTGTGTCCTAGTGGCCACAAGGGTGTCATAGAAAAATCTAGTCTAGTGAGAAGAAGGACTAAGGGAAACATGATAGGCAGTCTTCCAATATATAAGGGGCTTCCGTAAAGAAGAGAGAGCCGAGTCCGACCTTAAAGAATGACAAAGTTGGAAGGGACCTTGGAGGACATCTAGTCAACCCCCCTTCTCAAGCAGGAGATCCTACACCATTTCTGACAAATGACAGTCCAATCTTTTCTTGAAAGTCTCAAGTGATGAAGCTCCCACAACTTCCGAAGGCAACTTCTGTTCCTTGGGTTGATTGTTCTCACTGTCAGGAAATTGGTCCTTATTTCTAGGTTGAATCTCTCCTTGGTCAGTTTCCATCCATTGTTCCTTGTCTGGCCTTTGGGTGCTTTGGAGAATAGCTTGACCCCCTTCCTCCTCTCTGTGGCAGCCCCTCAAATATTGGAAGATGCTCTCCTGTCTCCCCTGGTCCTTCTCTTCACTAGACTAGCCATGCCCAGTTCCTGCAATGTTTTAGCCTCCAGTCCCCTAATCCTCTTGGTTGCTCTTCTCTGCACTTTTTCTAGAGTCTCCACATCTTTTTTATAGAGTGTTGACCAAAACTGGATGCAGTACTCTAGGTGGGCTCTTACTAGGCTTTATAGAGTGGTATTAGTACCTCACTTGAGTGAGGTACCCCCACCAAGCCACGCCCACAGAACTGGTAGTAACAAATTTTACATTTCACCACTGGAAAAATGGAAGGGAAAAGGACAACCAGCAGGAAGATGGGCTAGGTTGCAACTGCGACGGGTACACCATTGGGAATTGCTAACGGTCGATAGCAATTCGATAGCTCAGTCCGACTTTACCTCAGGAAACTTCAGAATAATCGCATCCCTTAGCGAAAACCAGCGTGTGGTTTGCTTAGGAGTGGTTGGTTGGATGGGCATCACTTCGGATGTTTCCCAAAAATTGAATGCCAACAAAATCAATCAATCCATTTAGTCAATCAATCATTAAGAAACCGACCTGGGCCTACTCAGAATCAACGGCTGGAGAAAAAAATCAAAGCTAACATCCTCTCGATATTTTCCCTTTTATTCTTCGCATGCCCGCAGGGATGAAGATGGAACCCAAATCAACCGAATAACCTCCTATTACTGCTTTCCTTGCCAAATGTAGTTCTATTTTCTAGAGACCAAAAGAAAAGATGAGCTAAGCCGCTCTTTCTTCGGACCACGTCACGGTGAAAATTAAAGGGTATTGTTTTGTTTCTATAGCTAACCATGGATTGCGATGTCTAAACATTTATAAAACATTTATAATTCGTGCCCTTGCTGTCTGCATCAAATGCTATCGTTTGCTCGCCCGCCAATCTCTCTACTCTGCTTTTAGCTGTTGCTCAGGGAAATTGCGGTCTGGGCCCTAGCCATAAATTGCAGGTGGAAGCCAATTTGCGAAGATGGTTAATTTGCCATTATCAAGTTACCTTTGACTCTTAACAGACTGCGGAGAGGGTATATTTCAACAGCAGGAGAAAGTTAAATCCGTTGTGGATAAAAACAGGCATCAATCGACAGGAAGATAATGGGCACACCTGGGAGTACCCACACTCTCAAGTTTTTGTTTTTTTAAAAAAAGGCTATACTGTGATCATCAGAAACTATGCAAAGTGTTTATTGATTTGTTTGAAAAAGGGATTTGTCCAGCACAGAATTATGCTGCAGGGCTGCCTTTTATTTAAAAAACAACAACAACCAGTTTTTTCTCCCCCAAAAGAATCATTGCAGAAATCTGCAATGATTGGTTGAGGTCAGATGAACCCTTCTTTTGGGATCTTTGGATTAGCCGAATTAGATAGTGTCCTGCCCAGTGATGAAATTCAATTTTTTAGACTCTCCTGCATGCGTAGATGACCTCCAAGGTCCCATCCGACTCTGTTATTCTACGTTCCATGTTCTACTCTTTGGTCCTAGTTCATTTTAATATTGAAAATGTTTAATGAGGTGATGCGAATTGCCAAGGTTGCTAATTGACCCGAAAAAAATAAAATAAAACCTCACATAACTTTTATGCTGCTCGTTTGGCTTTAACAGCAAATGAAGGTTCACACTAATGATGATTACATAACGTGGCTAGCTTAAAACCCTTCGGCTGGGAAAACAACTCCTTCTTGTGAGCCAGCCATCAGGAAGGAAGTTTCTGCTGGCTCACAATTCCTGGAATAATTATTATCATTATTTATTTATTTTTTTATTTTGATTTGATTTATATGCCGCCCTTCTCCGGAGACTCAGGGCGGCTTACAGTGCGTTAAGCAATAGCCTTCATCCTTTTGTATATTTATACAAAGTCAGCTTATTGCTCCCACAAACTGGGTCCTCATTTTACCTACCTTAGAAAGGATGGAAGGCTGAGTCAACCTTGAGCCTGGCGAGATTTGATCGCAGTAATTGCAGGCAGCTGGAAGCTAAATACTACCTTTAACAGTGGCATTAGTCTGCTGCGCCACTCAGGCTCTTTTATAAAACAGGTGAGGCTGAGAAAGAAAAGAAAAGAAAAGAAAAAAACATTTCCACCACTCTTTGATTTGGTATCGTTTATTTTTATCTTTCTTTTACAGCATATCTTCCCACCAAGGGAGCTAGAATCTTAAAGCTTAGTGTTTGTATTTTAAAATCAGAAACAAAGACAATAAATTACATTTAGGTCACCCACAAAGGGGCAAAGGTTGAGAAACCACTGTGCTTTCCGTAGGAATAATAATAACATCAATCGTTTTTAAAAAGGGAAATAGAGATTCCACACACAAACAAAAAATGTTTTAATCGTCAGACAAAAAGCTACATTCAAAGGAAACACACGTATCGTCCAATTAAAGCTGTTCGAAAGCGCAAAAGTCCATTTTTAATATCCCTGCAAGGGAGAAAGGAACATGGATAGAGTCCATCCCTAGTTGTAGGTCCAGCTATCTCTCCTGCATAGTTGGTTTGTTTTAAGTTACAGAGGAAGAGATGATGTTTCTTTCCTCCTAAATTCCAGAATTAAGTATTGCTAGGACCAAACCCAACTCAAAACCCAACTCTGCTCAGCCAACTTCTCGTAGCAAGGATGGCAACAGAGAAGACTGGCAGAAAAGGAACAGATAAGACAGCGGGTCCTCTTTTCCCCAAAAGTTCTTAAAAAAAAGGAAAACAAGAATCCTGCATCGAGAAAAGGATGCGGTAGAAAAGATCTTAATTCAACACAAAACACGTACACACACACAAACGCATCTTCCCTTTCTTAGGACCTGGCTTTCGGCCAGGGGTATCCAACTTCCGCAACTTTGAAGACTTGCGGACTTCAGCTCCCCAGAATTCTCCAGCCAGCAATGGGGAATTCTGGGAGCTGAAGTCCCCCCCCAGGTTTTCAAAGTCGCCAAGGTGAAACAAGGACGTCCTTTTTGCCTCGACATCCAGAAACGGCATTGGGTGTTGGAAGCTCACTTCACACACAACAGCAATTTCGGTTCGCGAGAAAGCTCCTTGGCAGAGAATACAATCTGGTTGAAGAGGTAGCCTGCGGGTTGAAGCGGGATTGAGCATCGCTGCTTCCTTCTCACTTACTCTTGAGCTTAACTGATTTAGGAATGTATGCTGCAAAAAGGCATAAAGCCTAACTGGACAGCTGGCCATCATGCTTGGCTCACGCGACTATTAAAGGCAGGATTAACTTGTCGAGTGGAATTTTCTGACCCCAGGCTTGGCTTGTGGAAAAATAGAACTGTGTTCACACTTTTTTTAATGCTCACCATGCAAAATGGGACATATTCTGAACTCGACTTTCAACCTGAATGCAAGGTGATCCAAGGGCATCCATTTGTTTCTGCCTTAAACCAACGACCAATTTTAGGAGGAGGACAGCAGCTTCCAAATTATTTATGCTTTTATCTTGGAAGACCCACTCACTGGGTCTTACTGTCTGGTTTCTCCAACCTGAAGAGTAAAACTCCCACAGCTGAGGCTCAACGTAGGCAGAGTCCGACATGTATCATTTTTTCTTTCCTTACGCCGTTGTGCAGAGTGGGCTTCCTTGCCGCAAACTCAGTGCTAACAAAGTACCCGTACTTCCTCCTGCGGCACCATTTAATTTAGACCATAAATTCTCCTTCGATAGAAGCTTCAGCAGGGAGCAAAATCAGCAAGCTACGTTCTCTTGCTTTATCTTCAGATGGCCAAGAATGCAACTTCAGGCTGACGTCCTTGTTTAGTTTAGTTTTTTTCCCCCCCATCGTGGTCAGGGGTGGGACTGAAAAATGTTAGCAACCGATTCTCTGCCCGGTTGCTGGGTGGGCGTGGCCATGGGGGCGTGGCCTCCTTGGCCTCCTGCACCACAGCGGGGGGTGGGGCGTTTTCGCCCTCCCCAGGCTCCGGAGGCTTTCCTTGAGCCTCCAGGCGGGAGAAAAAGGCCTCCCCTGGGCTCCAAAGGCCGGAAACAGGGCCATTTCCGGACTTCCGGGAGGCCCATTTTTCACCTTCCCAGAGCCTCGGGCCACGTGGAAACTTCTGGGAGGGGAGGGATGGGGGTCCAGCCAGTCCTTGTAACTACCGGTTCGGCGAAGCAGATGTAAAATTTGCATCCAGTTTGCCCGAACCAATCCAAACCGGCTGAATCCCATCCCTGATTCAGTGATGGGTTGCTCCTAGTTCACACCGGTTCGCAAGAACCGGTAGTAAAAAATTGTAGTAGTTTGGAGAACCGGTAATAACATTGGCTGGCCACACCCCTGAACCAGTCCCCGGCCCGGTTGCTGCTCGCTTACCCCGTCCTCATCAGAGGCTTTTTTTTTTCTTTTAAAAGCATTTTTTCTACAACCTCTTCGGCCGAAAAAATGCTTTTAAAAGTAAAAAAAAAAAAGGCTCTGATCACGCGGCTCAGCTGGGATCATCAGAGGCTTTTAAAAGCATTTTTTTCTACAACCTCTTTGGCTGAAGAGATTGTAGGGGAAAAAATGCCTTTAAAAGCCTCTGATGATCCCAGCTGAGTTGCCTGATCGTCAGAGGCTTTTAAAAGCATTTTTTTTCTGCAACCTCTTAAGGTTGTAGAAAAAATGCTTTTAAAAATAAATAAATAAATAAAAGTTGGCCACACCCATCGTCACATTAACCCCCCCACCAAGCCACGCCCACAAAATAAGCCACGTCCACAGAACCGGTAGCAAAAAAAAATTAGAACCCACCCCTACCCTGACTGTGGTGTTGTCTGGTCTGGTTAAAAGGAGAACTTTCCACATCTCCAAGAACGGAGATGGAAATTCTCAACGTTGTAACGCCAGCTGATTTGTGGGGAGGGAGGAATGCCAGAAAAAGGGTTTCTCCCCCCCAAATCAAATCTCCTCTAGAATCTCCTTTAATGGCAGTTGTGCAAATGGGCAGCGTGAACCGTCATCGCTAAAAATGCATAGTATTATAAGCTCTGTATAGTAGACTTAGTTTAAAAAGCTTCCCCTCGTCTAGATGCAAAACTCAAAAAATAACCCCCCCACCCCAAGAATTCCCCTCTTTGCAACGTCGGCCTGCACACAGCAGCCCTGGATGCTTAAAATTTCCCCATCCTGTTTTTTGTTCATCGCAAACCGAAGCCTTTTTTTCGGTGCTTCTGGGCTGCACCGGGCTTATGAGAGGGTTCCCTGTTGTGTTTACATCGATTTGCAGGTATCTCTCCCTATGGATACAGAGCTGCACCTTGATCCTGAGTTACAAAATAAAAACCGGTATGCCAAATAAACCATGACACAAGCAACAGAGAGAGAGAGAGAGAGAGGGAGAGGGAGGGAGAGAGGGAGGGAGAGAGAGGGAGAGAGAGAGAGAGAGAGAGAGAGAGAGAGAGGAGTAAAACCCACCCTCAGTCTCTCTGCGTGAGTTCCTGCACAAGAAACACCTGAACAAGGAGTGGCAGAGAGATGAGACGTGCAACCTCAGAGTAAGAGAGATGTCACGTGCATGTTATGGAGTAGCATAACACACAATTCTGTTGGTCGCTCTTCTGTCGTGCAAGATGTCATTAATTTATTTTTAAACTTTTCCCTTTACGTAGGAAAGATCTCCACCTGATGAATCTCTTTTAAGATTGATCAAACCTCATTCAGCATTTGATGAGGCTCTGGAGAATCCCCACTTCTGCAATAAATGCAGGAAGTGCCCTGAATCTTTAAACAAGGCGCCGGAACGTTCTCCATTATTTTAATTTTCTTAATTCCCAATTAAGTTCTTAATTATCTAGAGGTTGCTAGGTGACTCAGGTGATATCATAGTTGGCATCTATTAGCATCCTTGTAGCGTTATTACTCAATATAGTATTATTAGTGTGCTTGTTCCTTTTTATGAGATGACAAGGATAGGTAGGGTGTCCAAGAGTTGGGTAGGACGAGCAGGAAACGACACTCTTGAATTCAACTGGGAAGAAGGAAAGAGGGCCAAAACAGAGATGGAAATCATTTAATTCAGTGACATACATTTATGATTTCCATGGCCAACCTTACTTGATTTCAACAAGTTATAAAAAAAGGGTCAAATCTGGTGATGCTGGGATAGGCTGCAAGTTAGACCGACAAATTTAAAAAAAAAAAAATCCTGAAAAAAGCAATGGGGAAGTCACTTCTATATTGTCGCCAAAAAAACAACAACACAGAAATATCCATAAAATCAGTGGGTACCTAATCCAACTCAGAAAAGAAGAGGAGTGTATGGTAGGCAGCCATCTTGAATCGAATTCCCTCCAGATGTGTTTTGTTACAATTCGCATAATGCCCCAGTTGTCATCAACCATTTATCTAGGGATGAAAAAGAAGTGAAGCCTTACAGATCTGGGGAGATTCTCAAAATGGGAGAGACGCTGTCATTGTGCCCTAGGCCTTGACCATAAAGGGATGTGTGGGGAGGAATTTAAAACTCCAGAAGGTCAGAGGAAGCAAAATTGAAACGTGAGATGTCTTTTGTAAAAAAAGAAAAGAAAAAGAAAGAAAGCAGGAGAACTGAAGATGCCAGAGACACAGGGATGGAAATGTTCAACCGGGGATGCGCAAACGATTCCCGTTTTCCGAGACGGCTTTGCAAATTTGAAAAAGACATTTCTGAATGGTAACTGATTACGAGTGGAGGGATTGAACGCGCTTACATTCGTATGTGCTCTCCCGGCCTTGAAGAGCTGACTCTGCCAATCCAACATCTGGTTTTCAAGTTTGCAACATCTGCTGAAGGACTGAGCGTTCATACCCGCACTGCAGCTGCGCTGAGGTTTCGGAGGCAACACCTGTTCCAATGAATACATCCTTAAATGAAACTGGCATTTTTTTGCCTATTGGCTTTGATCCACTGATCGCGCTCGGCGTCCTTTGTTTACAAAAAGCTGTTTTCGAAGTGGCCTCCAAAGTTGTTCCCCAAAATCGCACGCCGGTCTAAATTGCAACGGTTTTATATCAAGGTATAATCCCATGATATTTGGCCACTGAAAATGAACCCCCTGAGATCTTATTCGGATTCCAACCGGTGGAAAACAATCATTGTTAAAAAAAAGCTGCAGAAAAACAGAGAGGATAACATTATCTTGGGATAATGTAATAATCAGATAATTTCACTCAGTTGTCCTACATATCCCAATAAAACATGGTTTATACGTGGTCCACAGCTAAACCCAGAGGACGTTGGCTCCAAGTCAGGTTGGAAAAAATATATATAACAAAATGGAATTGATTACTACAATTATAGCCACGTGTTCGAATCCACTCCAAAAAGATGATCCAAGCATTTAGATCCGGAACGGCAGTCCTTTTTATTCCCCAGCTGCAGTTACTCCCATGTTCCAATTTTTAATCTTGCCTTCAATTTGCAAACCCTCCAAACGCCGCAAACTGATCCCACGACTTCGACTGCGCCAGAAACTCACGCAAACGCACGGGGTACCTTGAAACTGGAAATCTATATACAACTATAGCCCCCCCCCGTTTCGAGTTGGCAAAAACGAACAGTACCTCTGGAGACAGAAAACGGAGGGTAATTCATTTAAATCTTCCCCAAGTTTTTTTTTTAAAAAAACAAAATGAGAACAGTTAACCCAAATTAAGACATCTCCCTGCAAGTAGAAAGAACGTACGTCGGAGGAAAAAGCTGTACCTCTGCCTGATATTTATCTCGCTACGTTACGTTTTCTATTTGCAGAAGGTTTAAAAAGAAACAACAACTGAGAGAGGCATTGATCTGCAATGCAACCAGATGCAACTTTCAATGGACTTCCTGCTGTTATTTATCCTATGGGTGATTTAGTTCGGGTCCCTTGAAGCAGAGGCCGAAAAGCTGGAACGGAAGGGAGAATGCGCATCGATTCAGGAAAACCAACTTTCTCCCCGAAACAGAGGAGAAGGGACAGATTCCGTCAACGTGGAAACTCCGGCTGGTTCCTCCTCGTCAGGCACGTATCCCTTGCTCTCAAATACCCCGATGGCTTGATTAAAGAGGGTGGGGAAATAGATAACCCCAAATAACGAAGTCTCGGAACTCCCTGAGATGGGAAAAGCGAAGTCTGTCTTATCAAGAGAAGGTGGCTGGCATCTCCATAAGTCTGCGTCTTCTACTGTGCCACCTTTTGTAACCCCATGCTGCTTTGGAAGGACGTCCTTCCCTGGTGTGGGGAAGGCAGAAACGAGAACTGGGCACTCTGGGGGAAAAAAAGGCAGCTCCTTCGAGTTAAACCCCCTCCCCTGGCTGCGCCTTCCTCTCCGTTGAGTTAAAAACCAGCACAGGGAAAGGGAGAATCTGCCCATCCTGCTAATGCAGCTCGCTTCGATGCAGACAGGTGAGCTAGGGCGGGGCCTGTCACCTTAGAATAGGTGGCTGGACTATTGCTTTCCAAGGATGGCTGGCAGGCTGGCTTCCCCTCTCTGATCCAAACCACCTGGCTGGAAAATAATAATAATAATAATAATAAAACTCAGGGCAGGTGAGTCGGAAACAGTACCAGAGAGCGCAGGTGGGGAGCTGCTACCTGAGGTTGATAAGACGCACAATCAGAATCTTCTGCGGGCACTCTTCGTGTCTTTGGAAAGGAAAAAAAAGGACACCAGCTGGACCGGGGGGGGGGCCAAACTGCCCCGATGCCGGGGTCAAACCACGTTGTCGGAAGGATTGTGGTTCGTCTTTTGATGCTGGCAGTTCCTTTCGTTCAAGAGGCCAATCATCTCGTTGGTTGAGAGGGTGCTCCCCTTTTCGGGCGAGGAGGGGTCCTGTTTGGGGGGGCTCCCGTCGGGGGACGGGGGGCAGCTCTCCAGACGGGAGGCCATGAGACCGTTTTGGTACTGGAGGCGCGTGATCTGCCGGGCAAAGAGAGAGCGAGAGCAGGTGAAGAAGCATGATTGAAATAACGATCATTAAAACATGAAAACGAATGACTGTTCATTACAGATTAACAGAGTTCGAAAGGGACCTTGTAGGTCATCTAGTCCAGCCCCCTGCCCCCCAAGCAGACCTTACATTAGGGGTGTCAAACTTAAGGCCTGCGGGCCAGAAGTGGCCTGCGGGGTGCTTAAATCTGGCCTGTGGTGCCGGCCTGGAAATAGCAAAGGAGCGGCCCGCAGTGCCTCTGGCAGCCAAAATGGGGCGCAGGGGGCAGGGGTGAAATGCTCCCAGTTCGGACCGGATTGCACGATCCTGTAGCGATGGCGGCGGGGGGTTCGGAGAACCGGTAGCAAAAATCCCTGCCCCCCCCACATGCCCAGCTGAGCCGCGCGATCATCAGAGGCTTTTTTTTTACTTTTTTTTTTATTTAAAAAGTTTTAACAATCATTACAACAATTTTAAAAGCATTTTTTTTCCTACAACCTCTTCGTCCGCTTTTAAAAGCCTCTGACGATCCCAGCTGAGTTGCCTGATCGTCAGAGGCTTTTAAAAGCATTTTTTTAAAAAAATGCTTTTAAAAGTAAAAAAAAAAAAAAAATTGCCCACGCCCCCCCAGTCACATTACACCCCCCCACTAAGCCACGCCCACAGAACCAGTAATAACAAATTTTACATTTCACCACTGGCAGGGGCGAGCACTTGCAGGCCCCCCCACACACCCCATTTTGGCCAGTAGGGTGCTGGAGGCCGTCCAGCTCCCTGCTCAAGCTTTGCTGGCTGAGGAATTCTGGGAGTTGAAGTCCACAAGACTTAAAGTTGCCAAGGTTGGAGACCCCCCCCACCCCCGATATAGAAAACCAGCTTGTTAAGGGAGAAGCCATTTTTCCAAAGCAGCCAGCGTTCTCTATTTTTAAACAAATCTGCTTTTCCGGTATCGGAATGCATAAAAGCGAGAATCCGTTCGGTTTAACTCTTGGAAGGCTTAGTTAGGCCTAAGGCTCACCTTGACGTACTGCAGATCCGTAAGAGCACGAACGCTGAAGTCCGACAGGTTCTGGGTACTCACGATGACATTAAGCTGGTTGTTGCTACCGCTGACATTGGAAGAGATGGACTCGGTGCGCTCGTGGTAGCATAGAGACGCCGAGCGATTCAGGTTACTCATATGAGATGGAGAACGTATTTCTGAAACTAGACGAGAGAGAAAAATGAATCAGGTTTCCACAATTTTGGCCGCTACTGTGAGCAAAGCTGGATCACTTTTACAATGCTAAGGAGCCTGACCATAACGTCACTAGATATTGAGCTGGACGTGTGGAGCCTTCACCTAAGGTTTCTTCCAGAGGGTCATAGAATAGAACAGAACAGAACAGAACAGAACAGAACAGAACAGAACAGTCCAGTTGGACATGTGATGCGACACCCAGAAAAATACAGCATCCTTCACTTAAACCTCCAGGGAAAGTTCGAAGGCAAAGGAGGTCCAGGCATCATGGCTTCAAAATCTAAGGGACCGGTTTGGACAAAACTCAACAGCACATTTTTCGGGTGGCTGTTGATAAAAATAGGATCGCCAACGTCTGATGACGGATATGGAAGAAGAAGAAGAAGAAGAAGAAGAAGAAGAAGAAGAAGAAGAAGGAGGAGGAGGAGGAGGAGGAGGAGGAGAGAAGGAGAAGAAGAAGGAGGAGCAGGAGGATGAGGAGGAAGAAGGAGAAGGAGAAGAAGGAGGAGGAGCAGAAGGAGAAGAGAAGGAGGAGAAGGAGAAAGAGAAGAGAAGGAGGAGAAAGAGAAGAGAAGGAGGAGAAGGAGAGGAGAAGGAGAAAAAGGAGAAGGAGGAGGAGGAGGAGAAGGAGGAGGAGAAAGAGAAGAGAAGGAGGAGAAGGAGAAGGAGAAAAAGGAGAAGGAGAAGAAGAAGAAGAAGGAGGAGGAAGAGGAGGAGGAGAGAAGGAGAAGAAGGAGGAGGAGCAGGAGGATGAGGAGGAAGAAGGAGAAGGAGAAGAAGGAGGAGGAGCAGAAGGAGAAGAGAAGGAGGAGAAGAAGGAGGAGAAAGAGAAGAGAAGGAGGAGAAGGAGAGGAGAAGGAGAAAAGAAGAAGAAAAAGAAGAAGGAGGGAGGAGGAGAGAGAAGGAGAAGAAGGAGGAGGAGAGCAGGAGGATGAGGAGGAAGAAGGAGAAGAAGGAGGGAGGAGCAGAAGGAGAAGAGAAGGAGGAGAAGGAGAGGAGAAGGAGGAGGAGGAGAAAGAGAAGAGAAGGAAGAGAAGGAGAGGAGAAGGAGAAAAAGGAGAAGGAGGAGGAGGAGAAGGAGAAGAGAAGGCGGAGGAGATGAGAAGGAGAAAAAGGAGGAGGAGGAGGAGGAGAAGAAGAAGGAGGAGGAGAAGAAGGAGGAGGAGGAGATACTTTTCAAGGAATTATGGTGCCCTATCTATCTCATTCTTTGGCCAACTCTCCTGAGGCCACAACCTGTGTCCCTGAAGTCCAAGCAAAGCATTAATGCGTCGGCCATCCCCAAGCATTAAATGCAATTTTTTTTTACCTGACAGCTTGGAATGCAAGGATCCTCTCTGTATAATAGACTGCGGCTGGGACCTGTCTGGCGGTGCTACATGCAGACAGAACGGAGGAGAAGGATGAGGTGATGAAACCAGACAAAAGAGAGAGATGCAAAAAGGAGAAGAAAAATCAACCATAACATTGCCGTGCCTGGAATGACCACATTTACAGGAAGTTCTCGACTTATAACCATCACAGAGCTCAGAATTTACGGTCGTAAGTCGAGCCAAATTGTTAAGCAGATCATCATATGACCGTGCGTGATTTAATGCCTTCCCCCCCTCCCCCAAACAGTGGTTGTTTAGTGAATGTGGTAAAGCGAACGCTGAAGTCATAAAGCGAAAGCCACGGTCCTCGACTTACGACCACAGTTGAGCCCAACATTTCTGCTGCTAAACGAGACATTTGTTATGAGAGCTTTCTTCTCCATTTTACGAACCTTCTTGCCGTGGTGGTGAAGTGAATCCCTGCCCATTGTTAAGTTAGTAACACGATTGTGAAGTGAATCCCTGCCACCTTGTTAGTGACAACGGTTGTTAAGCGAATCTAGCTTCCCCGTTGACTTTGCTCATCAGAAGGTCCGCAAAAAAGGGATCACATGATCCCCGGGATACTGCAACCGTCATAAATATGAGTCGGTTGCATGACCCTGGGGATGCTGCAATGGTCGTAAGTGTGAAGAATGGTCATAAGTCACGGTTTTCCGGGACTGATTATGCACTGCCTGTTCTGCAGAGGAAGCTGAAAGGCTGAAGGTTGGCCACTAGAGGGCAGAAACCTAACACTGAATGTTACTCAACCCAGAAGAATCAACTTTGTCAAAAAAAGACATTGGCAGGAGAGGCAGAAACTTCCCTTAAAAAGATAAAGGTTCCCCTCGGACATATGTGCTAGTCGTTCCTGACTCTAGGGGGCGGTGCTCATCTCCGTTTCAAAGCCGAAGAGCCAACCCTGTCCGAAGACGTCTCCATGGTCATGTGGCCGACATGACTCAACGCCAAAGGCGCACGGAACGCTGTTACCTTCCCGCCAAAGGTGGCCCCTATTTTTCTACTTGCATTTTTTACGTGCTTTCAAACTGCTAGGTTGGCAGAAGCTGGGACAAGGAACGGGAGCTCACCCCGTTATGCGGCACCGGGGATTCGAACTGCTGAACTGCCGACCTTTTGATCGACAAGCTCACCGTCTTAGCCACTGCGTCCCTGAAACTTCCCGTAGGGCAAGTTCGGGCCTTCCGGAAGTTGGGAAACGGGCCGTTTCCAGCCTCCAGAGGGCCTCTGGGGGGTGTGGAAGGCTGTTTTCGCCCTCCCCAGGCTCCAAGAACGCCTCTGGAGCCTGAGGAGGGTAAAAAATAGGCCTATCGGGCCCACTGTGCCATCGCGTGCCAAAAGCGAGGGGAGTGGGTGGTGGTGGTGTCATATGGGCATGCGAGGGGCACATTGAATTATGGGTGTGGCCACGTGTTCACGCGACCCCCCCCACACTCCCCCCACTTTTGGCACATGACAGCAAAAAGGTTAGCCATAATTATGCTGTTACCTATGGCTTGATGCTTACCGCTTTGCCCTTTGACTTGCAAACACAGATGCTCATTGTTGAACGGACAGCTAACTCAACTTCACAACGGTTCATTCAGCGACCGTCAAAAAGACACGACGGCACTGAAAAAAAGTGACTTAGGACCATTTTTTCACACTTCGGACCGTTGCCTCATGGCCACGTCCTCAAAATTCGGAGGCTTGGCACAACTGAACTCGCATTTATGACGGCTGCAATAGTCCCGGGGTTATGCGGTCGCCTTCTGACAAAGGGGAAGCTAGATTCACTTAACAACCGTGTTAAGAAAAGTCGTACAATAAGCCAAAACCTCACTTCACAAATATTTGGGCTCAATTGTGTTCGTAAGTCAAGGACTATTTTGTAACCTGCTGAGGTTTCTTGATTGGGGCGGGTAAGGCAAAAATCCTGAATTTTGGGCTCCTTGCTCCTCTCTGAGCTTGGCTGTTTGCCTGCAGATGGTTTCTTACCCAACTATAGAGCCTTGGTGGCGCAGCAGACTAAAGTGCTGTTAAGTAGCACCAGCTGCCTGCAATTACTGCAAGTTCAAATCTCACCAGGCTCAAGGTTGACTCAGCCTTCCATCCTTCCGAGGTCGGTAAAACGAGGACCCGGATTGTGGGGGCAATAAGCTGACTTTGTATAAAAAAAGAGCACCGCTTAGGGGGGGCCGAAAGCCCTACTAAGCAGGTATATACAAAAGTATGAAGGCTATTGCTTAACGCATTGTAAGCCGCCCTGAGTCTCCGGAGAAGGGCGGCATATTTATTTATTTATTTATTTATTTATTTATTTATTTATTTATTTATTTATTTATTTATTTATTTATTTATTTATTTATTTATTTATTTATTTATTTATTTTCTATACAGTCCTTCACCCGAAGGACTCAGGGCGGTGAACAGATTAAGATTTCATATACATATAATAATTTTTTTTTTCCTTATAAACAGTAAATAATAAATTGAGTCAACTTGGTGTATCTGCTAAGACCTTGGCATAGAATTTAGATATTTATGCTAGCCCTGCTTGTTGAAACAGAAAGGTCTTCAGGGCACGTCGGAAAGTGTGAAGATATAAATCGAACAAACAAACAAACAAACAAATAAACAAACAAACAAACAAACAAACAAACTAGGTAACATCTTCAATGCTTATTCAAAACACTGAATAAATAAACGTGTCAACGAATCAATCTTGGAGGCTCACTCTGTTATCTGACATTTTTCTGTGCCTCCTCTTGCCCCCCACCACCACCTCCCCAATGCATCCAAAGTGAAGTGGGGAACTTACTTGTGACAACGGGACTCAAAGCCATCACTCCGTAATAGGAGAACGGTCCAGTTTCAAACTTCATGTTCTCCTTCCCGGCTTCTACCTCCACTTTACCCTGACAAAGGAAAAAAAAAAACATTTTGGATAAAAATATGGTGGATTATTCAAAATATTTTTTTAAAAAAAGGATAAAAGTTTACTCCACAGTTGTTTTTGTTAGGTATCATTACAGATTGTACGGCTATAGAGACTAATCTGATTCTGAATTTAATAACTGCAGCAAAACTCTCGGTGGCGCAGTAGTGGAAGAAGGAAGATTTACCTACTATTCAAGAATGGACATTAAAAGTAGTAAACTTAGCAGAAATGGCGAAAATTTCAGCATATCTAAAGGACCATTCAAATGAGAAATATATGTTAGAATGGAGAAGATGGACTGATTATATTCAAGGCAAATATCGGACTAAATAATTTCAAATAGTTTATGAATGATCAAAGAGATTTTATAAAGTGCTTAAATTTAGTTTAGTAAAAGGGGAGTTAAAAGTTCAAGAGGGGGATAGGAGGCTGTAGATAATTAGCTTATGTTAGCTTATGATTGTCAAATGTTATACCCTGTATTTTGCTCTGGGAAGTTGGGGGTGGGGGGTGAGGGAGGGGAAGGGGAGGGTTGGAAGGGGAGCAGGAAGGGGGAAGGGGAAATGTCTGTAAAACTTTTTAAAACTTTTCAATTAAAAAAAATGGAAAACAAAAACAAAAATAAAATTCAGGGTAAAACTTCACCAACTTAGCAGTGCAGTTTTTCAGATGCCTTTCGGTGCAATTTTTTAAAAAAGATCAAAGGTTATTGTTTGATGGAAATACGTATGGGTTTGTTTGCATTTCACCCCTTTTATATTCTAAGGGACACGGTGGCTCAGTGGCTAAGACACGGAGACATCTTCGGACAGAGCTGGCTCTTCGGCTTTGAAACGGAGACGGGCACCGCCCCCTAGAGTCGGGAACCATTAGCACATATGTGCAAGGGGAAGCTTTACTTTTATCTGACCTTACCTCGACCTATAACCATTCGTTTAGTGATCGTTTGAACTTACAATGGCACTGAAAAATGGAGATTTTGCCGTATCCTTCCCCCAGGAGTGGGGAGGGAATGGGGATTTTGCAGTATCCTTCCCCCAGGAGTGGGGAGGGAATGGGGATTTTGCAATATCCTTCCCCTGGAGTGAGGAGGGAATGGGGATTTTGCAGTATCCTTCCCCTGAGTGAGGAGGGAATGGGGATTTTGCAATATCCTTCCCCTGGAGTGAGGAGGGAATGGGGATTTTGCAGTATCCTTCCCCTAGGAGTGAGGAGGGAATGGAGATTTTGCAATATCCTTCCCCAGGAGTGAGGAGGGAATGGGGATTTTGCAATATCCTTCCCTGGAGTGAGGAGGGAATGGGGATTTTGCAGTATCCTTCCCTAGGAGTGAGGAGGGAATGGAGATTTTGCAATATCCTTCCCCCAGGAGTGAGGAGGGAATGGGGATTTTGCAATATCCTTCCCCTGGAGTGAGGAGGGAATGGGGATTTTGCAGTATCCTTCCCCTAGGAGTGAGGAGGGAATGGGGATTTTGCAGTATCCTTCCCCTAGGAGTGAGGAGGGAATGGAGATTTTGCAGTATCCTTCCCTGGAGTGAGGAGGGAATGGGGATTTTGCAATATCCTTCCCCCAGGAGTGAGGAGGGAATGGGGATTTTGCAATATCCTTCCCCTGGAGTGAGGAGGGAATGGGGATTTTGCAGTATCCTTCCCCTAGGAGTGAGGAGGGAAATGGGGATTTTGCAGTATCCTTCCCCTAGGAGTGAGGAGGGAATGGAGATTTTGCAGTATCCTTCCCCTGGAGTGAGGAGGGAATGGGGATTTTGCAATATCCTTCCCCCAGGAGTGGGGAGGGAATGGGGATTTTGCAATATCCTTCCCCTGGAGTGAGGAGGGAATGGAGATTTTGCACTATCCTTCCCCCAGGAATGGGGAGAAAATGGAGATTTTGCAATATCCTTCCCCTGGAGTGAGGAGGGAATGGAGATTTTGCAGTATCTTTCCCCCTGGAGTGAGGAGGGAATGGGGATTTTGCAGTATCCTTCCCCTGCCACGTCCACAGAACCAGTAGGGAAAAATATTTGAATTTCACCCCTGCCCTGACTTAAATAGCTTTTTATTACTACAGCGGTTCTAACAGGTTCCGTGGCCTGAAACATTAGAAGAATCTGTTTTATAATACCACAGATGTTCCTTGGAGCTGAATCCAACCCAACGGCATTTATTCAGAAAAAAACTGTATTCTGTTGATGGATTAGATGAAAGTTGGGTGGGTGGGCATTCACAGGCAATTATCATCATTAAGATGCAACAATTAAAGCTCTTGAAAAGCTCCTGCTGTTTTTTTTTTTCTCATAGGAACTCTGCCAAGGAGGACGAATTCTGCCATATTTCCCAGGCTCAAAGCTGCTACGAGATTCCATGGTTTGCAAATGAATTCTAAAGACAGGCCCGGATTTAACCACAATCCTTCCACCCTGGTTAAACCCAGACCTACGCAGGGGCATTTGGCACGACGCCACAACGCCGTCCCACGCATCACACCGTTGGCCAAAGGACGCAAATCATGTAACCTCATTCTTGCGCGAATGAGTCGAATTACATAATTTGAATTTAGGCAAATAACCTGTTGCACGAATGAAGGTTATAGCATCGCAGAAAATTTCATCACTGTAGGAGAAGAACTGGCAGAGCTGGGAGGCGGAGTTCAGGGAGTCACCAGCTTGGAATCGTTACGTTGCCAGAAATGGTGGTAAAAGATCAACCCCTCCTAAATTCCGTTGAGCCTTCTTTGGGAGCCAATTTTGTACTGAGCGTTAGTTGGCTAAATTCTTAATAAAGCTTATTTCCATTTTTAAAAACAATGCTTTACATATATACATACAAAATTATTGCAACTAACGTATACAAATATGCGCCTATACCACTAATGAAATCCGTTTCATTTCCCTCCCTTTCCTTTCACCCAAATATACCATAAATTCCAACATTCATAACAATCAGAATCTTTTTGGTTCCTAAGTAATTTCATTAACTGATCTGCCTCTGCGCGTTCTGTAATTCTCCAAATCAATTTATTCTCTGTAGGTATTAATTCGTTTTTCCATTCTTGCACGTATAATATCCCAGCTGCGGTAATAATATGGAGAATCAAGTACCATTGTTCCTTAGATATTTTATCTGGTTTCATTCCCAATAAAAAAAGTCTCTGGTTTCAGCTCCATATTATATCCTGTAATTTCCACTATCCAATTCCGAATCTTGGACCAATATTTGCCTGCTTTGGGACACATCCACTATTGGTGATAGTATGTCCCGCTACCATTCCCGCACTTCCAACATGCCGGAGAGGCTCCCGGAAACATTCTTGCTATTCTTGTCGGGGGGAGATATGCCAACGATAAGACCATTTTATAAATGTTTTCCTTGTAGGGAGTTGACCTCCTACAAGTTGGCTAAATTCTTGTGCAATAAATCCCTTTTGAACTGCAATTTTCCGTACGGTCATTTTTTTTTTTGTTTATTAGTATAAAATATAGAAAAAAAGAAAAAAAAGAAAATTAAGGGAAGGGGACAGGAAAAGGGGGCCATTTGGGCCTAGTAAGCCTCCCTGCACTTACCTGGGAGCTAAAACAGGGCGCGTGGGGACTCCTGGAAGGGGCGGGGCGGGGCCAGCCAGCAATTTAAAAACTGGTTCGGCCAGTTTTCGGCCGCCCTGAGTCCACTAGGAGAAGGGCGGGATACAAATTGAATAAAATAAATAAATAAATAAAATAAAGTGGTGCGGATTGATCGAATACCACCACTACCCTTCCATACAGATCAGTCCCCTCCTTTTGCGCCTGAATCCGGAGCAGCCCCGTTACCTGAAGGATGAGGATGAAGAAATCGGCGGGCTTGTTCCGGTTGAAGAGGAAATGCTGGGGACACTTCTTGTTCTCTTCGTCGAACTTCAGCTCGTTGATGACATCCCGATGCTTGAGAAGGCGCAAGAGGATCTTTTCCGAAATGAAAGCAGGCGTGAACTGCGTCACCTCTGGAGGGATAAAAAGAACAGCGGGTTGATCGCAGTGGTGAAATTCACATTTTTTTTACTGCCGGTTCTGTGGGCGTGGCTTGGTGGGCGTGGTGTGGCTTGGTGGGTGTGGCAGGGGAAGGATACTGCAAAATAGGGGCTGTTGCGCCCCTATTGGGACCTAGATGCCCTACGCACGGTTACTCATGCGCTTGTCGCCTCCCGTGTTGACTATTGCAATGCCCTCTACATGGGGCTGCCCTTGAAGACCACTCGGAGACTTCAGCTGGTGCAGAATGCGGCCGCATGGGTTGTGATGGGAATATCCCAACACTCCCATGTTACACCTCTCCTACGCGACTTGCATTGGCTGCCGGTTGCCCTCCGAGTGAGATTCAAGGTGCTGGTGATTACCTATAAGGCCCTACATGGCTTAGGCCCAGGATATTTGGGGGACCATCTGCAGCCAGCAACAGCTTCCCATCGCCCGGTGCGTTCCCACAGAGAGGGCCTCCTCAGGGTGCCGTCGGCCAGATAGTATCGGCTGGCAACCCCCAGGGGGAGGGCTTTCTCTGTGGGCGCACCTAACCTTTGGAATCAACTGCCCCTGGAGCTCCGGGTGGCCCCCAACCTCCGCTCTTTCCGCCGCGACCTGAAAACGTGGCTGTTTCGTTTGGCCAGCCTTTACTGATGGGGTTTTAATTTTAATTTAATTTTAACTTGTTAGTCTTAATTGTACTTTTAACTGTTAAATTATGAGATTTGGATTTATTTTTTATTAGATGTTTCTTAACTGTTGTGAGCCGCCCTGAGTCTGGCTGGAGATAGGGCGGCATATAAATCTCATTCATTCATTCATTCATTCATTCATTCATTCATTCATTCATTCATTCATTCATAAATAAATAAATAAATAAATAAATAAATAAATAAATAAATAAATAAATAAATAAAATCTCCATTCCCTCCCCGCTCTGGGACCAGCCAGAGGTGGTATTTGCTGGTCCTCCGAACTACTCATAATTTCCGCTACCGGTTCTTCGGAACCTGTCAGAACCTGCTGGATTTCACCCCATGGACCTCCCCAAAAATAAGACCAAGCGCTTATTTCAGGTTTCAAAAAAATATAAGACAGGGTCTTATTTTCAGGAAAACACGGTAGAACTTAATGTGATGACTATGTTGTTTATTTATTTATTTATTTATTAAATTTATATCCTGCCCTTCTCCCCGAAGGGACTCAGGGCGGTGAACAGCCGAGAATTAAAATAGCATACAATATAAAAGTTAAAATAATTAAAAATAAATTAAATTAAACGGCCGCCCCAATTTAAAACCCCTAGCAATACAATTAAAAAACCCCTAAAAAAACCTGATGCTGGTTGGGTTCCCGCCGTCTGCTAAATTACAGGCCACCAGCTTGTTTTAACCTAGTCTAGCTTGTTAGGTGAACTCAACGTGCTTTCAGTTTAGCCAAAATGCTAAATGTTTGAAGGGCTGCCACAAAGAAGAGGGGATCCACCAGAAGGCAAGACAAGAAGCGATGGATGGAAACTAATCAAGGAGAGTTCTGGGAGGGGGGGACACTAGGTATACTATAGCGACTTGGTGGTGCAGCAGACTAAAGCACTGTTAAGTAACACCAGCTGCCTGCAATTACTGTAAGTTCAAATCTCACCAGGCTCAAGATTGATTCAGCCTTCCATCCTTCCGAGGTAGGTAAAATGAGGACCCGGATTGTGGGGGCAATAAGCTGACTTTGTATAAAATATACAAAAGTATGAAGGCTATTGCTTAACGCATTGTAAGCCACCCTGAGTCTCCGGAGAAGGGCAGCATATACATCAAATCAAATCAAATCAAATCAAATCAAATCAAATCAAATCAAATCAAAAAATAAATAAATAAATAAATAAATAAATAAATAAATAAATAAATAAATAAATAAATAAATTTATTTTAAAAAGCCACCATAACTATCTTTTGCAAGACAACATTCCTTTTGGGGAAAAAAACATCAAGGAGAAAATGCAGAGGAAGCTAACATCCTTCCAAGGTAGGTAAAATGAGGACCCGGATTGTGGGGGCAATAAGCTGACTTCGTATAAAAAAGAACACCGCTTAGGGGGGGCCAAAAAGCCCTATTAAGCAGGTATATACAAAAATATGAAGGCTATTGCTTAACGCATTGTAAGCCGCCCTGAGTCTCCGGAGAAGGGCGGCATATAAATCGAATCAATCAATCAATCAATCAATCAATCAATCAATCAATCAATCAATACTAAATGACTCTGGAGATTCTCAATCCTCCAGGTCATGGTTGTCCCAAAGGTACTTTTTTTCAAAAAGCAACTGGATTTTCTTGGTTTTTCTTTGAAGACGTTTCACTTCTCATCCCAGAAGCTTCTTCAGCTCTGACTGGATGGTGGGGAATGGAAGGATTTATGCTCCTTGCAAGACAGCTGGTCATTTGCATCCTTTGAGAGAGCTTTTTAAGAGCCTTCTTGGGACTGTTGAAAGGGCCATGTTGTAGGCTAGATAACAGAGGGAGAGGGATACGACATCACCTCTCTCCAATCTACAACACAATCCTTTCAACAGTTCCAAGAAGGCTCCACGTTCATTTGCACTACTCAGGTGACCCTGAGGACACAAGAGAAACCTCCAAGTGGCCTCAACAGCCCGCTAAAAGGACGCAAATGACCAGCTGTCTGCCAGGAGTATAAATCAGGAGTGAAATCTAAAATTTGTTACTACCGGTTCTGTGGGCGTGGCTTGGTGGGGTAATGTGACTGGGTGGGCGTGGCCATTTTTTTTTTTTTACTTTTAAAACCATTTTTTCTACAACCTCTTCGGCGAAGAGGTTGTAAAAAAAATGCTTTCAAAAGGCTCTGGCGATCCCAGCTGAGTTGCCTGATCGGCAGAGACTTTTTTTTCTTCTAAATGCCTCTGACGATCAGGCAACTCAGCTGGGATCGTCAGAGGCATTTAAAAGAAAAAAAAGGTTGGGAGAATGGCAAAAGGCTTTTTTTTTTTTACTTTTAAAAGCTTTTTTTCGGCCAAAGAGGTTGTAGAAAAAATGCTTTTAAAAGTTAAAAAAAAGCCGCTGATGATTTTGCGGCTCAGCTGGGTGTGGGGAGATGGAGGGCAGGGATTTTTGCTACCGGTTCTCCGAACCACTCGCCTCCATCGCTACCGGATTGGGCGATCCGGTCCGAACCGGGAGCATTTCACCCCTGGTATAAATCCTTCCATTCCCCACCATCCAGTCAGAGCTGAAGAAGCTTCTGGGATGAGAAGCAAAACGTCTTCAAAAGAAAAAAAAACCCAGAAAGTCCAGTTGCGTCTTGGAAAAAAAGCACCTTTGGGACAAAAAGATATACAACTTTTCTGTTCCTGGAGAAAAATCCTGGCTGTAATTCTTAACAATGAAATAAGGGATGGGAGCGCCTGGAATTCCCACAAGAGCTTAGTGCTAAGTTGTGCTTCACGCCAAATTAACGTCTACACTTTACATTGTACACCCTTAACGAAGTGGGAGAGTGTTAGCCAAAACAGAAAAATCAACAAATGTGTGCTAATTGGCACAGGGGAAATGGCAGCCTTGAAGGGACAGCTTCGCAGTTAAGATTGATCCAAATTTCTAAGGCAACATCACTGGTATTTCTTTTTTAAATAAGTCAGTACAGGTAGTCCTCAACGTACAACCCCAACCGAGCCCCAAAATCCCTGAGACATTTGTTAAGTGAGTTTTACCCCATTTTACAACCTCTCTTGCCACCGTTGTTAAATGAATCCCTGCCCCTGTTAAGTTAGTAACATGGCTAGTTACATGAATCTGGCTTCTCCCCCTTGACTTGGCTTGCCAGGTTGCAAAAGGGGATCACGTGACACTGCAACTGTCATAAATATTAATCAATTGACTCATATTTGAATTTTGATCAATTCAAAATTCCGAAGAGCCAGCGCTGTCCGAAGACGTCTCCGTGGTCATGTGGCCAGCATGACTCAACGCCAAAGGTGCACGGAATGCTGTTCCCTTCCCACCAAAGGTGGTCCCTATTTTTCTACTTGCATTTTTTATGTGCTTTCAAACTGCTAGGTTGGCAGAAGCTGGGACGAGTAACGGGAGCTCACCCCGTTACGCGGCACTAGGGATTCGAACCACTGAACTGCCGACCTTTCGATCGACAAGCTCAGCGTCTTAGCCACTGAGCCACTGTGTCTACAGGTAGTCGAGAATTATCTGTAATTTTAAGTGTTTTTATAGTGATTTTTTGAGTGTATTGTGAGCTGCCCTGGGTACTTGATAGTACAGTGGTATACGCACCCTGTTATTAACACAGCTGCCTGCAATTTCTGCTGGTTCGAATCTCTCCAAGGCTCAAGGTTGACTCAGCCTTCCATCCTTTCTAAGGTAGGTGAAATGAGGACCCAGATTGTGGGGGCAATAAGCTGACTTTGTACAAAATATACAAAAGTATGAAGGCTATTGATTAACGCATTGTAAGCCGCCCTGAGTCTCCGGAGAAGGGCGGCATATAAATCAAATTTAAAAATATATATATATATATATAAATTGAACAAATAAATAAATAAATAAATAAATTAAAATCTCCTTTCCCTTTCTCAGAAAGGAGGATTTTCTCCCACCCCCCCGAACTCACTTTGCAATATCTGGGCCAAAAGCCTCACTTTTTTTTTTGCTGGTGCTTAATTGCCCTGGTGGGATAGGGATGCGGGATGGGAGACAAATAAACAAGCAAAGCCTGAAGGAAACTCCCAATCAAACCTAAAGCCACAGCAGACAGGATAATGGAGGCTTGCCTTGCGGAGTCTGCAGACCCCTGTAATTTCCCCGTGAGACGACGGGGAGGGGGGGACACGACCTGGTATGTGAGTTCCATATTAGTCTCTGGAATCTGCCTGAGCCAAATTGCAGGCAGCGGGATCGTGGGATGAGAGAAGGAAGTGACCTTGGCTGAACTTTGCGGCAGGACTACAATTCCCATTAACCCAGCCATCCAGGTCTCCTTTTCATGGTGGAGAAAGAAACTGCTTGGCGTCACCACGGCCAGGATAGCAATAGCCCTTAGACTTATATACCACTTCATAGTGCTTTTACAGCCCTCTCTAAGCGGTTTACAGAGTCAGCATATTGCTCCCAACAATCTGGGTCCCCATTTGACCCACCTCGGAAGGATGGAAGGCTGAGTCAATCTTCAGCCGGTGAGATTCGATCTGCTGAACTGCAGCTAGCAGTCAGCTGAAGTAGCCTGCAGTACTGCACTCTAACCACTGCGCCACCTCGGCTCTTAGGATACTCTTAATGTGCTGAGGCTGGAGATAGGCTGGTTCGGGGGGCTTTGCGGGGGTCTAGGACACCTCGCTACAACAAACTCCCCATGGCCAACTCACCGCGGCCAACTCACCGCAGCAGAAGAGATACACTAATATCGAACAAACAGTGGAATAGAATTATTAAAGAAAGGAGGGACAAACTGAAATGGGAATGACAACAATTAAAATAATTTTTAAACACTATTTTAAATTTAATTATTTAAAACAGTGTTAAAAAATTATTTTAATTGTTGTCATTCCCATTTCATTTTCTCCCTCCTTCGACATCCTTTCTTTAATGGGTCTAGGAATAGAATCATTCTTGAAAAGGTGAATTGTCCTGCAGCGAGTTGGTCATAGCAAGTTGACTGTGGAGTGTTGCCCATGACAAGTTGATGGTAGAGAGTTGGCCATGGCAAGTTGCCCATGGAGAGTTGCCCATGGTGAATTGGCGATGAAGAGTTAGCCATGAGTTGACCATGGACAGTTGGCCATGGCAAGTTGCCCATGGAGAGTTGCCCATGGTGAATTGGTGATGAAGAGTTGGCCATGAGTTGACCATGGACAGTTGGCCATGGCAAGTTGACCATGGAGAGTTGGCCATGGTGAGTTGTCTCATTCCACCTTTGCATTGTAGCCTTCAACCCAAATGCAGAGATAAAAGGAAAGGAGATTCCCATAATCACAACTGAGCCCAAAATTTCTGTTGCTGAGCGAGGCATTTGTTAAGCAAGTTTTGCCCTGCTTTATGACCTTACTTGCCACTGTCGTTACATGAATCCCTGTGGTTGTTAAGTTAGTGACATGGTTGTTAAGTGAATCTGGCTTTCCCCCAACGACTTTGCTTGTCAGAAGATTGCAGAAGGGGATCACATGACCCTGGGACATGGCAACCGTCGTAAATATGAAACAGTTGCCAAGTGTTTGAATTTTGATCACATGACCATGAAGATGTTGCAATGGTTATGAAAAAAATTGGTAAGTCATTTTTTTCAGTGTCGTTGTAACTTCGAACGGTTACTACGAACTGTTGTAAGTCGAGGACTCTGCTTTGACTTCCCAGTGAAAAGAAGGAGAGAAAAAGAAAACTCCTTTCTTTGCAGTAGTAAAGGATAAAAACGTCTGTTTTCAAAATTCCCCCAGAGGTCTCTTACCGGTGGAGAGAAAGCGATGAGCAGCCAGAAGCAGCTGCGGGGAAATCTTCACTTTCGACTCCGTGTCGTTGTCTTTGAAGGCGGAGAAATCTTTCTTGTCCTTTTTGTGGCTCACACGCTTCCTGGTGCGGTTGTCGGCTACGGTGACAACAAGCGAGGAACAAGTCATTAAAGAACACCCACAATGTTGGCCTCAGCTGCTCAGCGAAACCCGATAAATTAACTTCAGCGTTTAGCGTGATGTGTGAACCTATGTGTTGCATAATTCATCAGACACTATGAAGGGCAATTCGTGGCATCGTGGAAGAGACCAGGGGTGGGCTGCTGAGGGTTCTCAGGGGTTCGGGAGAACCTCTAGCTACGATTCTGTGCAGTTCGAAGAACCCCCAAATCCCACTCCTGGCTGGCCCCGCCCACCCTGCCCCTCCCAGGAGGCTCCCCATGTAGCCCGTTTTGGATGCAGGTAAGTGCAGGGCACACACGGAGGCTCGGGGAGGGTGAAAAATGGGCCTACTGGAAGTTTGGGTCCGTTTCCGGCCTCCAGAGGGCCTCTGGAGCCTGAGGAGGCCATTTTCACCCTCCCGGAGGCTCAAGGAAAATCTCTGGAGCCCAGAGAGGGCAAAAACGCTCCCCCCTCATGGTGCAGGAGGCCGACTAGGCCACGCCCACCATGGCCACGCCCACCCAGCAACCAGGCAGAGACACCCTTGCTAAAAAAATTTTGAAGCCCACCCCTGGAAGAGACCCATTATGAGAAAACAATCTTCATGTCAGGGGCAGGCAGTATTTGGGGGGGCTGGAGTCCATTAGGGATTTTGAAGGTCTGTATGGAGCTGTGTCACAAAATGGCTGCCACGGAAGACTTTACTCTTCCCAGAAGGGCCATCGTGATGGCCATGGCCAAATTCAAAATGGCTCCTGGCCAGAAGGTTCTCCACCATCCTTCTGTAGATGCCTACAGACAAATAAGGAGGGCCCTAGAGAAGTTTTGCCTTGTCGGCCTATCATAATTACAACTTTTAAATTAAGATGATATTTTCAAAACGAGTCAGATGGGATAGGTGGACTGATGGACATCCAGGTTGGCCCATGAGGTCACTGTAGTCCCCTTCTAGCGCTTGATATAGATCAAGATCATACTATGGCCATTGACCAGAAGTCTAATACAATTGTTCTGACCCAGCTCTCCAAACACGAGAAACCCTCTAAAGTTAACTCAAAGATTCCTTTATTAGGAGTGCCGGCAAAAAGTTTCTCTCTCACCGCAGGCTGACAAGTCTGTCCGGCAGGGAGATGAATACATGTCTGCCATATCTATTCATCTCCGCCCCCTGTCTTTTATCCCCCAAAGCTAGGTGGGGCTTCCCTAGCAGTGGTGTCTCTTCCGTCCAAAGGACCGGCCCATAGATTTCCACTGCTCTCCTCTCCTCTGCCTTCTACGCATCTACGCGTCAGGCACTGGACCCAGCTGTTCCTCCTCTTCCTCATCAGCCACCTCCAGACCTGGGGGCTGTTGACTCTCCATCTGAGGGCTGACGGATGGCCCAGGCTCCGCCTCTGTTACTCTCTCTCTTCCAGCTCCATTCCCTCTTCCCACTCGGAGCTCTCAGGTTGCCTAGATGCTGACCCTCACTCCCACTCCTCCTCCTCCATCTCTGATTCGGCTGCTGGAGGGGCTGGCGGCCGACAGGCCACAACAGCAATAAAATATCATATATAATAAAACATTCATGAATTTTCAAAGGTAAGCAAGGTTACCACTGCAAGCGATGCACTTAACAAAATATATACATTCCTCCCATCGAAAAAAAGGGAAGATTTAAAACGAACTTAACTGTACATATCCGATTCGTCCAGGATCTCTGATTTGATTATCTCCTCAATGACGTCTTCCAGCGTCACCAATCCCAACACTTCATAGAAGGGGTCCCCTTCACCTTCATTGTTGACCTTCTGGACAATAGCCAGGTGTGATTTACCTGTGGAGAGAGAGAGAGAGAGATACTGGTGACAACCACATTGTAACAAGAGTCACAAATCAGCAAGCTGGGTCCAGGCTCAAAATCCAGCTGGCAGCTGGCACAGTTTCCCTACAAGAGTTACCGGATACTTTGGACACAACAAGCTTCTTACGGTCTGTTTTGGAAGGAAGGTTTTGAAGTATTTCTAGCAGGACTAACAGATGCGGTAATAGCTTTGTTCTCTATACCATCCGTCTGGCAAACTCGCAAGATTCATTTCTCTCGCCATGTACATCTGAACTAGACTGTAATTTGTTTCTCTGTGTCATATATGTGGGATTTTTATTTTATTTTTTATTTGGCTTTAATTTATATGCCGCCCTTCTCCGGAGACTCAGAGCGGCTTACAGTGCGTTAAGCAATAGCCTTCATACTTTTGTATATTTATACAAAGTCAGCTTATTGCCCCCACAAACTGGGTCCTCATTTCACCTACCTTAGAAAGGATGGAAGGCTGAGTCAACCTTGAGCCTTGGAGAGATTTGAACTTGCAGTAATTGCAAGCAGCAGTTGTTAATAACAGTGCTTTAGTCCACTGTACTACAGGCTCTTCATATATATGCATAATTCTATATTTTATTTATTTTGTTGTATTTTGTAGTGTATATTGGAGGTGGTAATCCTTTGAGAGCTGTATGCAACGAAATTTCACTTTAATGTATGCTGATTAGTGTACACTCAAAGTGACAATAAAGTTATTATTCTACTCTACTCTACTCTACTCTACTCTACTCTACTCTACTCTACTCTACTCCACTCCACTCCACTCCACTCCACTCCACTCCACTCCACTCCACTCCACACACCACACTACACTACACTACACTCTACTTCTGTACTCTACCCTACTCTACGTCTACTCTACTCTACCCTATTCTACTCTACTTCTACTGTACTGTACTGTACTCTAATCTACTCTACTCTACCCTACCCTACTCTACTTCTATTGTATACTCTATTCTTTCATCAATAGAGCCTTGGTACTACAGTGGTTTAAAGCACCCTGTTATTAACACAGCTGCCTGCAATTTACTGCTGGTTCGAATCTCTCCAAGGCTCAAGGTTGACTCAGCCTTCCATCCTTTCTAAGGTAGGTTAAATGAGGACCCAGTTTGTGGGGGCAATAAGCTGACTTTGTATAAATATACAAAAAGGATGAAGGCTATTGCTTAACGCACTGTAAGCCGCCCTGAGTCTTCGGAGAAGGGCGGCATATAAATCAAATTAAAAAATATATATATATATATCATGGCTGTGGCACCTACCCTGTTTCCCCCAAAATAAGACATTATCCCCTGATAATAAGCCCAATCGGGCTTTTTGAGCGCATGGCAATAAGGCCAAGCACTTATTTCAGGGGTCAAAAAAATATAAGACAGGGTCTTATTTTCGGGGATACACGGTATCTATTCAACATCTTCCCCACACACTTTTTTAGTCTTTTTTAGCTTTTTAAACTGTCAATGGGTTTTAGTTTGAAATTTGGGCCAAAGTCATGTAATTCTTTTAATAATTTTAAATTTTGTATTGGTATGTGTTTTAGTTCTGGCTGTGCACCGCCCTGAGTCCACTAGGAGAAGGGCGGTATACAAATTGAATAAAATAAAGGTAGAGACAGCTCTAGTGGCCTTTTCACGAGACCTGGCTTTCCCCAAACAATAAGCAGTAACGGTGAGAGGGATCTCGAAATCCTAGTAGACAACTGCTTGCAGGTGAGGGCTGTGGAATGCAATTCATACCCAAACGAACGGGCCTTTGTAATGTGAGGCTATTGTTAAATTTAATACATAATTAATTAAAAACACCAACAGTGATACAGCAGCAGGAACACAAGCACTGGAAATAATCGTGTTTAAACAAATGTTTCCCAGATAAAGAGAGCTTCCAATAAATAAACTATTATTAAATTAATCAATTAATTAATGTTATCACAGATCATTATTAAAACAAATGTTTTACAGATATGAAAAGAAAGCTTCTAATAAACTGCTATCATGACATGATAGTATTCCAGTATTTGAGGGCCTCCTACAAAGAGTTGCTGAATAGATTGGACACAACAAGCTCTTTCATCACCATCAGGATTGTGGCACCTATCTATTCAACATCTTCCCCATGCCCCCAAGGTAGAGACATCGCTAGCGGCCTTTTCACGAGACCTGGCTTTCCCCAAACAATAAGCAGTGACACTGAGAGGGATCTCGGAGTCATAGTAGACTAGGGGTCTCCAACCTTGGCAACTTTAAGACTTGTAGACTTCAACCCCCAGAATTCCTCAGCCAGCAAAGTTGCCAACCTGAGGAATTGGCCGGCATTGTTTAGCTGACAGGACCTGGAGGAGACCAACTCTGTGGGATCTTACCGGTCTCTGGGAGCTATGCGGTAGAAGGCGGTCTCGAAGATAACCTGGCCCGGAGCCATGTAGGGCTTTAAAGGTAATAACCAACACCTTGAATTGTGACCGGAGACCAATAAGGAGCCAGTGCAGCTCGCAGAGAATTGGTGTAATGTGGGAGTACCTAGGTGCACCCACGACAGCTCGCGCGGCTGCGTTCTGGACCAACTGTAGTCTCCGAACACTTTTCAAGGGTAGCCCCATGTAGAGCGTGTTGCAATAATCTAACCGTGAGATGACAAGGGCATGAGTAGCCTCCTGATCCAAGTAGGGTCGCAATTGGTGCACCAGGCGAACCTGTGCAAAGGTCCCCCTAGCCACAGCTGTCAGATGTTGCTCTAATCTAAGCTGTGAGTCTAGGAGGACACCCAAATTGCGAGCCCGTTCTGGGGGGACAATTTCTCCCCCCCCCCGAACCAAGGATGGACAATCAACATGGTCTTTAGGAGGCAATACCCACAGCCACTCGGTCTTGTCTGGGTTAAGTCTGAACCTGTTGACTCCCATCCAGACCCTCACAGCCTCCAGGCTCCCTTCCAACTCTGTTATTCTGTTATAATAAGGCTGGGATGATCTCTGGCAGGAGTGTAGGTGGTAATGATGTTGTGATTCTCTTTTCATTTGTTTCTTCTTGATTTAATGGAATTGATTTTACCTCCTTCGTCACTGGATAGACTCATGCGTGCATTTTGCTAAGGATGGCTTTGGGGGGTAGCAATCTTAAACTCGGCGCCTTCAGCAATGGAGAGGGCCGACCTGTGATTTTGTAACATGCATGATGCTATGTAGCGTGGGAGGCAGAAGAATTGCCATATCACTCCTTCCGTGGAATGTCTAACAGTCACTGGATCCAGCTGAGCTGTCAATCATAGTCCCCACATGATGCTTTCCAGCTGAGTGGTTAATTGCAGCTTGCAGCAATCCTACTCAACACAACCAAAGGAAGATAGGGGATTGTTGTCCCAACTCATCAGGTGGGCGTCATGTTAGGATTAGAAATAGTGTCCCATGCTTGACTTTGCCCTCCCCTAGCCCTATTCCAGACAATTGGATTTGTCCCATCTTTCATCATGAAGATGCAACTCATCTTAAGACATTCGGACGTATTTCAACAGTTCAGACTGAATAACAGAGTTGGAAGGGATTTGGGAGATCTTCTAATCCAGAGGTCTGCAACCTTAAGCGCTCAAAGAGCCATTTGGACCCATTTCCCACAGAGAAGAAAACACCAGGAGCCACAAAACCTGGGTGGGCGTGGCCAACTCGATGTCACTCACTTCCACCAGTCACATGACCCCTCCCTAGACACGCCTACCCAGCCGGTTATTAGGGCAGAGAACCAGTTGTTAAAAAACACCGGGAACCACAAAATCCTTTTGACATTTCTCTCTCTCCCCTCTCTCTCTGTATCTCTTTATGTCTCTCTCTCTCCCTCTCTCTCTGTCTCTCTCTTTCCCTCTTTCCCTCTCTCTCTGTATCTCTCTATGTCTCTCTCTCTCCCTCTTTCTCTGTATCTCTCTATGTCTCTCTCTCTCTCCCTCTCTCTCTGTATCTCTCTATGTCTCTCTCTTTCCCTCTCTCTCTGTATCTCTCTCTGTCTCTCTCTTTCCCTCTCTCTCTGTATCTCTTTGTGTCTCTCTCTCCCACTCTCTCTGTATCTCTCTGTCTCTCTCTTTCCCTCTCTCTCTGTATCTCTCTATGTCTCTCTCTTTCCCTCTCTCTCTGTATCTCTTTATGTCTCTCTCTCTCCCACTCTATCTGTATCTCTCTCTCAAACAACAACCCCAAGCAAGCTCAGAGAGCACCAAGGACCCCCTCGGACAAATGATATTTGATGGGGGGAAAGGAGAGAAAACGGAATGGGGTGGGGGTGGGAAATTCCACCAGAAAAAAGAGATTTTAGGACAAGGCAGGGCAAGGAGAAAATTCCCACATAAATACATCCTTTTTTTTAAAAGAAAAAGACACACAACTAGGCCTCTCTCTGTTGCACCACATTCCCTCTCCAGGAGACTCAGGCAACACAATGGGGGATCATTTTGTATAATTCATGCTATTATAGCATTAGAGAAAAAAAAGGCAATTAGAGATCTCGGCATGTGGCAATTAGGGAGCAAAAAAACCCCCCCACTCCTGCTTTTCTCGCCGTGGGTGGGACCAGACCTCCCAGGCTCGGCCAGGAGCTTCCACAGTGGCTGCCGTTGGCGAGAGGATTTTTTATAAGGCAAAAAGTGGGGCTTGGATTCCTCGTCCATGCTCTCCATCAATGCTGGGCTGCTCCCATGAGAATAGCTGGGGGGGTGGGGATAAGCTGAAATCAGGGACCCCCGGCCTATGTTGCCAGCACTTCTCCTCCAGAGCATCCCACTGTGGTGGGTCCCCACATCGGGGATGGCCGTGGCTCATTGACCAAAAGATAACTGGCCAGATTCCCATTTTCCAGCTGAGTCACAAAACTTTGGTTTTCCACACTGCACCCATCAAAACAGAAATAGAACAACAGAGTTGGGAGGGACCTTGGAGGTCTTCTAGTCTAACCCCCTGCTTAGGCAGGAAGGAAACC